CTTCCAGTTTGATTTTCAGCCTTTCGTGGGGTACACTGTCGAAAGCCTTGGCAAAATCTAGGTAAATATTGTCGATATTACCACCCCGTTCTAGAATATGGGTCCAAATATCCAATACCTTGAGCAATTGTGTCAAGCAAGAGCGCCCCGGCATAAAACCGTGTTGGCAATCTTTTACAAGGTTGTTTCGTAGTAGATGTTCCATCGCTGCATCTCTGATAATACTCTCAAGTACTTTACATATTATGCTGGTCAGGCTCACCGGTCTATAGTTGTTCGTGGAGTGCCTATCGCCCTTCTTGAAGATAGGACTCACATAAGCCACTTTCCATTCACTGGGGACCATTTGTTCATCCAGGCATTTACAAAACAGAATCTTCAGGGGCTCTGCAAGCTCGTTGCACAGCTCCCTTAGCACTCTAGGATGCACCATGTCAGGTCCAGGACTCTTATGGACCTTTAGCCTGGACAGTTTATTTCTAATACCCTCTTCTGTGAACACAATGTGGGTCAGTGCTGTGTCGAACCGTCTGTCCTCAAACGCAGGAAGGTTAGTTGCATCCTCTCTTGTGAACACTGAGGAAAAGAAGCTGTTCAATGCCTCAGCTTTATCCTGGTCAGAATCTGCGTAACTACCATCTTCAAGCCTCAGGTCTGATACTCCTACTCGCGTTTTCAATTTCGACTTTGCATAGCGGTAAAACGCCTTTGGGTTTGACTTGACCTCGCGTGCAACCAGCCTTTGGAACTCCTTTTCAGCCCTCCTACACTCTATCTTTGCTTGGTTTCTGGCTCTTGCATACATCCTCCTGTCTTGCTCATCGTTTGACCCAACCCACGTCTTGAATTTCTGGGTTTTCTTCTTAATTTTGTCGACCGCCGCATGGTTCATGTGTAGGGATCCCCTCGTACACTAATACTGACACGTTCCTTGATAAGAGGGAGGAGTTTGAAACACTACTAAGAGTACACCAACCAGATATTGTAGGAGTTGTAGAACTAATGTACAAGAACAGGAGAATCGACCCAGAGGAATGTGAGTTCAGTATTGCTGGATATGACTCATTTACGAACCTTTCTCAAGAAACTTGCAAGAGGGGTGTGGTTATCTATGCTAGGCAAGACCTTAGAGCCAGCCAGGTGAGGGTACAGGGAGAGGATGTTTTTGAAGAGTCCAAGTGGTGTAAAATTAAATTAAAGGGAGGGGACTTACTTATCGTCGGGTGTACCTACAGATCCCCAAACTGTGGCCCACGAAATCAAAGGAACTTATGAACCTTAATAAGCAATGCGGCGATGCTCAACCCTAGCCACCTCCGTATCATGGGGGACTTTAACTATGGCGACATCGACTGGAGAAACGAATCCACCCCGAATGACTTGAATAACCCTGCTACACTTTTTGTAGAAACTCTGAGAGATAATTTTCTGTTCCAACATGTTAGAGACCCGACACATTACAGAGGGGAGCAAACACTCAAGCCACTTGACCTCATCATAACAAACAAGGAGGGTATGGTGGCCAAACTGGAACACCTTGCCCCAGTTGGCACCAGTCACCATACAGTGTTGTCATTCAGATTTAACTGTTACCTAGTTCAGGATAATGCCAGGCCAAGGTGCAAATATTACATGGGAAATTACAATGGGATGAGGGAAGAGATGAGGGGTATCAACTGGCCTGACTTATTAAGGCACAAGAACGCAGACACTACGCTGAATATCATAACTTAAAATGACCCATTTGATCGATAAATATATACCCAAGACCAAACCCAGTGCGTCTAGGAATACGAGGGGATCCCTACACATAAACCATGCGGCGGTCGATAAAATTAAGAAGAAAACCCAGAAATTCAAGACGTGGGTTGGGTCAAACGATGAGCAAGACAGGAGGATGTATGCAAGAGCCAGAAACCAAGCAAAGATTGAGTGTAGGAGGGCTGAAAAGGAGTTCCAGAGGCTGGTTGCAAGCGAGGTCAAGTCAAACCCAAAGGCGTTTTACCGCTATGCAAAGTCGAAATTGAAAACGTGAGTAGGAGTATCAGACCTGAGGCTGGTGGATGGTAGTTACGCAGATTCTGACCAGGATAAAGCTGAGGCATTGAACAGCTTCTTTTCCTCAGTGTTCACAAGAGAGGATGCAACTAACCTTCTTGCGTTTGAGGACAGACGGTTCGATACAGCACTGACCCACATTGTGTTCACAGAAGAGGGTATTAGAAATAAACTGTCCAGGCTAAAGGTCCATAAGAGTCCCGGACCTGACATGGTGCATCCTAGAGTGCTAAGAGAGTTGTGCAACGAGCTTGCAGAGCCCTTGAAGTTCCTGTTTTGTAAATGCCTGGACGAACAAATGGTCCTCAGTGAATGGAAAGTGGCTTATGTGAGTCCTATCTTCAAGAAGGGCGATCGTCACTCCACGAACAACTATAGACCGGTGAGCCTGACCAGCATAATATGTAAAGTACTTGAGAGTATTATCAGAGATGCCGCAATGGAACATCTAATACGAAACAACCTTGTAAATGATTGCCAACACGGTTTTATGCCTGGGCGCTCCTGCTTAACACAATTGCTCAAGGTATTGGATATTTGGACCTATATTCTGGAACGGGGTTGTAATATCGACAATATTTACCTAGATTTTGCCAAGGCTTTCGACAGTGTACCCCACGAAAGGCTTAAAATCAAACTGGAAGGGTACGGAATTCGGCGAAATGTCCTAGCGTGGATAGAAGACTTTCTACACGACCGCAAGCAGTGTGTGGTGATTAATGGCACGAAATCATCATCCATACCTGTCACAAGCGGGGCACCACAGGGCAGTGTATTGGGCCTGCTGTTGTTTGTTTGTTTCATAAATGACATGCCTGACGTTGTACACTCCTCCATACAAATGTTTGCCGATGACGCCAAGTTATTTCGGGAAATTAAGAACCAAGCGGACTGTGAAGAGCTGCAGAAGGATCTCTGTGGGCTCCAGGAATGGTCGAAGAAATGGCTGCTGAGATTCAATGTCACGAAGTGTAAGAGGATGCACCTGGGGCGTACCAACGGTAAGGAGGCGTATCATATGTCCCAACGGGATAAAGAAACTGCGCTAGTTGAGACTGTGCGTGAGAAGGACCTAGGTGTGTATGTTGACAATGAGCTGAAGTTCTCGGGCCATTGTGAAAAGAAGGTAAATCAGGCAAATAAATTATTGGGTCTTATAAGAAGGTCGTTCAGATATCTAGACGGTCCGTCCCTCGTAACGATCTTCAGGAGTGAAGTGCTTCCCCATCTGGAGTACTGTCACCCAATCTGGTCCCCGAGATATGCTAGGGACTGTCAGTTGGTTGAAAATGTTCAGAGGAGGGCCACCAAACTGGTGCCTGCACTTCGGCACCTCAGCTACCCTAAGAGATTGGAGCGCCTGAACTTGCCTAGCTTATACTACAGACGGGCAAGAGGGGACCTAGTTGAGGTGTATAAGCATCTCAGGGGGCACTACTCAGTTGAGTGTCCTTACTTGGAGCTGGCGGACGCTTGCCCCACAAGGGGTCGCAGCTCAAGATTGAAGAAGCCTCAAGTCCAGAAAACCGTGAGGGCAAACTTTTTTGGAGTGAGGGTTGTAAACTCTTGGAACAATCTACCAGAATGTTGTGACGGCACCGAATGTGAGCTCTTTCAAGACAAGACTTGACCAACACTGGAGCGGTTTCAGGTACATTCAGGAGCCGGTGCATGCCCAGTATTTGCCAACAGTGCGTGACTGAGACGTGACCGATCGCCCGGGCGGCTAGCGAGCCGATCTTTTGGTGAAGAAGATAAATGAAAAGGAAAAGTAATCAGAGACGTGACCGATCGCCCAAGCGGCTAACAAGCCGATCAGTGGTGAAGAGGATAAAAGTAATGATTTGGCTATGCAAGGGTGTGGCAAAGAAATTGTAGAATACAATTGTATTCTAGGAATTAAAAGAATAAAATCTGGAATGGAAAAAATCCGACAGCTATGGGAAATGGACAATATTCGGAAAATTTTGAACAAAGGTAGTAGTAGTTTGAAACATTATGTTCGAGTTTTGAATTCTACAAGTTCTACTTATGGTAAGGCTTCGGTTAAGTATGATACATTTGTGATGAAACTTCGCTTTGAATACAAGTATTATTGGCAATATATTGAAGGAACTGATGGCATTCCTTGTAAACTGTGTGGCTATGTAAAGTCCCATAAATTATATCATTACATTATGGAATGTATCTGTCTATCAGAATTTAGGGGTGATGGTATTACTGATATTACAGAGAGGGTTTGTTATTAATAAACAAAAATATGGTTAACAATATATCGAAAAAATTCTGTAAGATTAACATAAGATTGTAGATTTTATGCATGTCTATTTGTTGTTTACATATCTTATTTATGATTAGTACAATATTAAAGAGCTCTTGCTAAGACTAGTTATGGGCGGGCTAGTTAGCATGCTAACTATCTCCTTTTGTTGTATTTGTCAATAAATGTTTTGAATTTGGATTTGAATTAGTAGCTGTGTGTTTTGGTACGCGTTGTATAGTAAGGAAAACGGCCTTATTTCCACCTTGCAGAAGCTTACGAGACCTCCAGAACCACCAAAATTTACGAAGGGAAGTCAGCCATTTTAAATCAAGACGTGGATTTCGCAAGTCTTTAGTGAATCACCACCGCAGGAGTTTATGAACACTTAAAGCACTCACGGTGTTCGTAACTCTGGAGTACTTTAACTATAGACGCCATGAAATTAGTAGTTAAAATTTAATATACGGTTTATGTAGTAGTGATGTCAATATTTTTTTTTCTAAATAACCATTCAAACTAATAGAACTTTTTGTGTATAATATTATTTACAATATCAATGGTGTTTAAAAAAACACGCGTGAAATTTTAATTTTAATAGACAATCATAGTAATTTTAGTGGATCTTTGGAATGGTTTGGATCATCAGTCAGCCGTCGAGGTGGACACGAGCGAGAGAACGTTGGAGGCTTGACCTTGAGCAAGAGGGCAGAAGAAACGGCCGAGTTAACGACTGCCTGCATGTTTGTGTTCAACACCCAGCTTGTTAGCAAGTAACTTTTCCCGTGTAATCTACAACGTTAGAGAAACTGTACTTACCAAAATTTTGGAGTGGGTAAGAATAATGTTCGTTTTAATTTACACATTTAACAGGGAAAGGAAGCCGGCGGCATGTATACAACCGTTCGCCATTGTTAATACTGTGGGAGAGCCATGGTATGTGCCATCATTTGCAACTTGGAGATTTTGCTCCCAGCGATGGATAGTTTGATTGTAAAAACGCAAAATTTGCATAAGTGGGCCCAACTCAATTTCTTAATTTAAAACACAATTAATATTCGTCCATTGGCTGTCCGCAGGTTCCCGCCATGGTTATCTGATGCTATACTCGCCATTTAGTCACTTATCTTCCCCTTTCCTCCTCCTCGTAGGTTAGGTAGGTTGGTTCCTTTGGTGTGAGAATAGGTTCTTTTGGTGTGTTTTACTCAATTCTGACTTCCATTTTTGTGCAAATTAGCAGTGTCTGTTAAAATGAAAACTTTTTTTTTTGCAAAAAAAAAAAATTGTTGTGAAAGATGTAGATTTTTTTTTAACAGGGATTAGCCCACCCGGGCTCAGTTCAATGACCCACATCAGGGCCTGGGGGCGAAAATATTACAGTATAATAATAATAATAACTATTATTATAATAATTAAAAATTAATAAAATACCCATACTAAAAATAAGAAATAAAAAATAATAATAACCTTAAATAAATACAAAAAAGAAAAAACAAATCAAGAATGAGAAATGATATATTGTACATTATGTATGTTGTGATGTCAAAGTTTGAGAAACAATTGAGACCCGGCAATTGTGTGCAAATGAGGCACAAAAGTCAGATCAGCAACCTGGGACTTGGTCTCAATTTTTGTGATTCCATATGAACATACAGGAAACTGCAGCGGGCCTATTGGCCCTTACTGGGCAGTCCCATTTATACACCCAACCCCTATTGCTCATATAAGCATCCAACCTCTGTTTGAAGCTATCCTGCCTATTCGAGTTAATGATATTTGGTAACTTGTTCCATTCATCCACTACTCTGTTTCCAAACCAATGTTTACCTATTTCGCACCTAAATCTAAAATTGTCTAATTTAAAACCATTGTTACGAGTTCGCTCCTGGTTGGATAGTTTGAGTACCTTTGTAATGTCCCCTTTGTTTAGCCCTGACTTCCATTTATACACCTCTATCATGTCGCCCCTCGCTCTACGTCTCTCGAGGGAGTGCAAGTTAAGATACTTTAACCAATCTCTGTACTCAAGGTTCCTAATGCCCGGGATTAGTCTTGTCATTCTCCTCTGGATTCTTTCCAAGGATTCTATATCCATTCTGTAATACGGTGACCAGAACTGAACTGCGTAATCCAGGTGAGGTCTCACAAGCGCAAGATATAATCTTAAGATGACCTCACTAGTCAGTAACTAACACTCCTTTGTATGAACCCAAGTACTTTATTAGCCTTGTTACGAGCAAAAACACATTGTTTACTTGGCTTAAGAGTCCTACTTATCATTACTCCTAAATCTCTCGCAGTCGGATTTCTCAATGGCATCGTTGTTCATCTGGTAACTGGTTTCCCTGTTTACATCTCCTATACTGAGTACTTTACATTTGTCCACAGTGAATTTCATCTGCCATTTTTTCAGACCATTCAAAAATTTTTTTTAGATCTTCCTGTAGTTTTGTGGAGTCCTTGTCAGATTTAATTACACGTCCTATTTTAGTGTCATCAGCAAATTTACATATGTTGCTCTCTATGCCGATATTTGTCATTTATGTATATAATAAATAATAATGGTCCAATTACTGAGCCTTGGGGAACTCCACTAGTGACGTTGCTCCAATGGGATTTAGTGCCGTTAATGCTCACTCGCTGTTTCCCGTCCTGTAACCCCGCCCTAATCCATTTTAGAATATTACCTTTAATGCCATGTGCATTAGTCTTTCGTGGGGGACTCTGTTGAAGGCTTTGCTAAAGTCGAGATATACCACATCATAATTGTGCCCCTTGTCCACGGATTCGAAAACTGATGAAAAGAATGTTTATAGATTAGTTAGACATGAATGCCCGCTTGTGAAGCCATGCTGGGAATCGTTGATCAATTTGTGCTTCTCCAGGTGGTTTCGAATAGTTTGAAATGATTGCTTCCAGTAATTTCTTGGACGGTAGTTAGAGGATAGTGATCTATCCCCCTTCTTGCAAATCGGTATTACATTCGCTATCCTCCAGGATTCTGGTACTACAACTGTTTTTAAGGACATGTTAAACAACTTTGCTAAGGGCATACTAAGCTCTTCCGTACATTCCTTTAATACTCTGGCAAATATCTCATCGGGATCAGGTGACTTATTAGGCTTTAGTTTGTCTATTTGCTTACTAACATCGTTACTAGTCACTACTATCTCGCTTAATTTGTTTTCTTCACTATCTCTGAATTGAGTTGGTGCCTCGGGTATCATGTTTAAATTTTCGGTAGTGAAAACTGGTGAAAAATATTTATTCAGATTATTGCTCATTTCTCTGTCGTTATCAGTTATCTCGCCGGTATCTGACCGTATTGGTCCAATCTTTTCTTGCGTTTTAGTTTGATACATTTGATAGAATCCCTTGGGGTTTGTCTTTGCCTCCCTTGTTATCCTCAGCTCATTATTCCTCTTTGCTTTCCTTATCTCGGTCTTAACCCTACCAGCCAATACCTTATAATAATCCCGGAGGTAAATTTTGCCACAATTTATATCCTCCTACCTATAGGAGGATAGCTGCTGGCTACCACCAGAAGGAATGGGTTTAAATTTTTTCTACACTGATAGCGTATTAAACTTTACCAAAAGGTTAATATACTGTATATAGGACTAACCTGCCTGGGCTGCATTTATTTGTTTATTTTATTTTATTCTTTTTTTTTTACGGGGAATTATCCACCCGAGCACAGGTCATCGACCCACAACGGGGCCTAGCGGGCGAAAAACTAAGAATACAAAATAAAAAGTAGAAAAGGAAAAGGTTATATTAAGCTGCACCACGAAGATGCCAGAACACCATCTTTTTAAAGTGAGACAGATTGTATGAGTATGGAAATACAGAAGAAGGCAGAGCATTCCACTGTTTGGCTGTGTGAGGAAAGAAGGATGTACTATAACGGGTTATTCTAGTGTGATTGACATCCATAGAGAAATGGTGGGCACCACAAACAAGACGTGTGTTATGAGCCCAAGGCCTCGCCGGCGGTACACAGGAGGCCAAATCCACCGAACATTGCCTGTTAACGTAACTGTAAAAGTCAAGCAACATTGCGGTGAAGAGAAAGGGAAGAAAGATTGTTTATACTACAGACGGGCAAGGGGCGACCTAATTGAGGTGTATAAGCATCTTAAGGGCACTACTCGGTCGAGTGTCCTTACTTGTAGCTGGCGAACGCTTGCCCCACAAGGGGTCACAGCTTAAGATTGAAGAAGCTGCAGGTCCATAAAACTGTGAGGGCAAATTTTTTGGAGTGAGAGTTGTGAACTCTTGGAACAATATACCAGAAAGTGTTGTGACGGCACTGAGTGTGAGCTCTTTCAAGACCAGACTTGACCAACACTGGAGCAGGTTCAGGTACATTCAGGAGCCGGTGCATGCCCAGTACTTGCCAACAATGCGTAACAGAGACGTGACCGATCGCCCAAGCGGCTAATGAGCCAATCAATTGGTGAAGAGGGTAAAAGAAAAAGAACTAAAGGAGGAGGGTAATAAAGACAGAATGCCTTTGATTCCACCCTATCTAACAGTTGCACAGAAGAAGAGCCACCCCAGATATGAGAGCAGTATTCCAAGTTAGGACAAATGATTCCTTTATATACTTGAAGCAACTGCTCAGGAGTGAAGTAGCTATGGCATCTGTACAGCATAGCGCCAATGTGGCCATACTATCTCACGTCCAGAAATGCCTCAAATTTCGCCATATGATAGTAAGTTCTTTCTGTTTAATATACCAGGGAAGTTAGGTAAGGTTAGGTAAGTTTGGTTGGTTAGGTCTTTTCTTCATAGCCTCAAATGTTAAGTAGCATTTATTTTAAAAATATAATTTTTTTAGCATATTTCCACAAAGTACAACAGTAAAAACTATAATGTAACAATGAAAATCAGGCATTTTTATGATTGTTTTCAACCAATTTTGGTTGCGGATTAGTCCTATATAATTACTGCAAAAAATGCTAATTTGCACAAGAAATGAAGGTCAGATTTGAGCAAAAACCCCAAAAATACACAAAATATTCTCATACCAAAACCTGAGGACAGCTGATGGACGAATATTTACCAGCACGTTTTTTGCATAGTTTGGGAGTTAAGTTCGGGCTCCCAAGACACTTTTCTTCTAAGGCATTTCCATTGGAAATTTTTATTTTTCAAGTATTTTAACATAAAATTACCAACAATATTACTTGTTTTAAGGGTAATGATGCAGTTTACAGCACTGTATTACACTTACATCGCAAATTGATAATAAAGAAGTTATTGAATTTTAAAAAGAATAAAATCAGACCACCTGTTGCCCCAATGCTTTTGCTCAAATTGTGTGTGTTCGTACGTTTGCTTACCTCCTGCGCATGTGCCGGGGGGCTGCCGCCAATCAAATGGGGGTGGCCGCAGCCAATCAAATCTAGGGCGGGGGCGGCAGCCAATCAAATCCATTAAAAAATCTCGACTTTTGATTCAACCGATTAACGTTCAATATTCGGCATGGGTGCTAAGATGCGGGACATTTTTAATCAGCTGCAACATGGAGCCATAACGTACTTGGTGTGATTTCAAATATTGGAAGTTTGCCGTATTATTTCATTAAAAAAAAAATACGAAAACTTTAGAGAACAGGGAACCCACGACGTATTCTGGTCCCTGACTCGGAGTAAGGTAAGAAACACTCTTAACAGCTACTGTATTTATATTCTCATGGAGGCTGATCACGCGACTCTAGGGTTATTTCATAGCACTTGGGGGTCTGGGGGCAAAGCTCCCGGCTAGGGATCACCAGGGGTCCGGGGGCGGAGCACTGGGCTAGGTTGTTAAGTAAGGTTTAGTTTGGTTATATGGTATAAGTTGGCAAGCACAGATTACCGGGAATTCAGAACACACAATCAATAGAAGTATTACAAGTGATCGCGGGCACGTTCGTGCCCTTGTGAGAGTTTGAACGCTCGTGACAGCGTACAGCGAATGAGGGTGCACCGAGTCTGTAGACTTGCATGGTTAATTAGGGTGCGCCAAGTCTGTAGACTTGCATCGTTTTCCATCGTAAATAAAATTGTGAATTAATGCCTTCCATAAAAAATTGTGAATTAATGCCTTCCTAAAGAAACCATTGACATGGGACCAGGTTTGTTCCACTCTACGATTTTTTTATGATTTTTCCACCAAGTTTGATGAAAAACGATTGTGCCATTTCGGCTGCCCAGAACAGACAACACATGCCTAGTCCTATAGTATATTAGATGAGGGGAGGGGGGATAAATTACAAATGAGTGTTTTCCGACAAAAACGAAGGTCAGAGTTGAACTAATTGCATCAAAACCCAACAGAAAACCACTTTTTTCTTCAAATTACATGGTTGCTGTAATATGCACATTTACTGTTTAAAATGGGTGGGACTTCAAAATCGAGGGAAAATGTGTGGTAAATTACTAAAAATAACACCAAACAAAGCTTTGAAAACCTGACCTAATGTTTTATAACATATTTACTTTTATCATCATCACCACTGATCGGCTCGTTAGCCGCTTGGGCGATCAGTCACGTCTCTGATTACTTTTCCTTTTCTTTTATCCTCTTCACCAAAAGATCGGCTCGTTAGCCGCTTGGGCGATCGGTCATGTCTGTTACGCACTGTTGGCAAGTACTGAGCATGCTTCGGCTCCTGAATGTACCTGAACCTGCTCCAGTGTTGGTCAAGTCTTGTCTTGAAAGAGCTCACACTCGGTGCCGTCACAACACTTTCTGGTAGATTGTTCCAGGAGTTCACAACTCTTACTCCGAAAAAGTTTGTCCTCACAGTTTTCTGGACTTGCAGCTTCTTCAATCTTGAGCTGTGACCCCTTGTGGGGCGAGCGTCCGCCAGCTCCAAGTAAGGACACTCGACTGAGTAGTGTCCCTTGAGATGCTTATACTGTACAGCTCAATTGGGTCCCCCCTTGCCCGTCAGTAGTATAAGCTAGGCAAGTTCAGGCGCTCCATTCTCTCAGGGTAGCTGAGTTGCCGAAGGGCAGGTACCAGTCTGGTGGCCCTCCTTTGAACATTTTCAACCAACTGACCGTCCCTAGCATATCTCGGGGACCAGACGGGGTGACAGTACTTCAGATGGGGAAGCATTTCACTCTTGAATATCGTTACGAGGGATGGACCGTCTAGATATCTGAACGACCTTATAAGACTCAATAATTTATTTGCCTGATTTACCTTCTTCCTGCAATGGCCTGAGAACTTCAGCTCATTGTCAACATACACACCTAGGTCCTTCTCACATTGTCTCAAATGGTGCAGTTTCTTCATCCCGTTGGGACATATGATACGCCTCCTTACCGTTGTTATGCCTCAGGTGCATCCTCTTACACTTCATGACATTGAATGTCAGCAGCCATTTCGATTCTCCTGTTCTTGTACAACAGTGCTACAACTCCTACAATATCTGGTTGGTGTACCTTCAATAGTGTTTCAAACTCCTCTCTCTTATCAAGGAACGTGTCAGTATTAGTGTACATGACATTCAAGCCAGAATTTGTTCTCGATAACGTCTCTGCTTTTAGTAGTAACCTCCCCATTCTCAGAAGCTGCAGCATTTTCTAAGTACAGTACACTGTATTTTGCAGGGTGTGGTTAGAAATGTCATTGTTTACATTGCGTTCGCCTCCTCCCGGCTGATAGGTGGAGCTGGTGCCACCTCCCGGGCGGGGGGTAGAGTGGGTGGAGGGTGCGCTGGTGCCACCTCCCGGGCGGGGGGTAGAGTGGGTGGAGGGTGCGCTGGTGCCACCTCCCGGGCGGGGGGTAGAGTGGGTGGAGGGTGCGCTGCTGTCCCCCGGCCCTGTGTGAAATATCAAAAAGGTTTTTATTACCGGTATTTTTTGTAGATCAATGAGAACTGTGATACCGTATATGATATGATAAGTTAGCCTGTGCTGAGAACTTCAACATAGACTACTGAAAACATGTTGTAAGGTAATTTAGCCTATTGTAAGTTGGTGAGCTTCATTTGCTGAAGGAACTGCACAACTTTTCATTACTAATTGGTACATATTTTACGTTTCCATTGTTTACTGGCAGTAAATGGTAAATATTTTTCATGTCTGAAGCTAAAAGTTGCATCCCCCCCCCACACACTAGTGGTGATGTTACATTTAACCAAAAAGATGCTGGTGTTTTATCCCAGCAGTGGGTGGAACAGCATTTTAGCTTAAGGTCCGCGTAGGTAATATTCCTACAAATCAAAAAAAAGAAAAAAAAAAGTTCGTTCAGATTTTGTCTGAATTATCCGAAATCCGGATTAACGGGGTCCGAATTAACGAGGGTTGACTGTATTTGCACTTGGACAACTGATCAATGAATAAACGAGGGCATATGGAGACTCATTATACACTAGTGATGTCACAAAGCTTTGAAACTGCAGCCACAATTTCTGAGCAACCACATAAATTATAATTTAAGTGGTTGCTCAGAAATTATCAAACCTGTGCTGTGCTTAAGTTTACCAAGTTAATTACTAAAATTATTATGTCTAGTACAAAATAAGGGTTGTTTATCCTCAAATTCATTGGTATCTTACAAGAATTCCAGCAATGCAAGTTATATTCTCCAAAATCATTGTTGACTGTATATTATTTTAAGAAAACTATGGCAACAGGTTGAAAATACACAAGTTTTTCCTAAATAATCCCTGCTAAAATGGGGAGTGCGCATAGTATGCTGTAAAATATGGTACAGTAGAACATCAATTTAAAGCGATTCAATTTAAGATTATTGATTTAAAGCGACACTCACAATTAAGGACAATGTTTTAATTTAAAGCAAATCTTTCCTATTTTGTGCGAGTCAATCTGGTGCATCATTTTAAAATTCGCGCTTAATGTTTCTCTGGGCACGCTACACTGTCTTAAGGGCAAAGCTGTACTGTACACGTACTCAAAATAATGTACTAAATGATTACTAAAATTTTTTGTCTAGTGCAAACTATTACATGATTATATTCAAATTAATCACCATCTTATAAGAATTCCAGCAATGTAAATTATATTCTCCCCGGTCACTTCTGTGACATTTTATTAAAAAAAATAACTCAATCTGAAAGTCATAAATAAACAAATACACTGTAAATACTTCACTAGACCTTTGACCCCAACTGTCAAACGTGTCACTGTCACCTCCCCCATCTTTGCAGCCAGGGTTGGGTGGTTATAGGCTTACAGTTTTTATCTTGTATAATATCACAGACTAAAGTTAGGAGAATATAATTTGCATTGCTAGAATCCTTGCAAGACAGCGAATAATTTGAATATAGACGTCATATATTTTACACGAGAAAAAAATTTTAGGCCTTTGTAATAAAATTAATTAGAACATGTCAGTTCAGTGACATTTTATAAGAGAAAACATTAGTCACTCTTAAGGACAGATAAATAAATAAGCACTAGACCTTGGCATCAACTGTCAAACATATCACCTCACCCTTCCCCCATCTTCCCATCAGCTGATCACTAGTAAACAGACCATTTCATGTCCCATAATTTTAGCTATGTTGATTTATGAGTGTTTGTTTTAACATAATACTACAAAAAACAATGTTTTGTTTATTCTAGGAAATGGGCTGAGGTGCATCTGGGTAGACTCTCAGTCTTTTTAGTATTTTGTGTTACTCCCAAGTACCAAACGAAATTATTCCATTGAAACAACACTTCGATTTAGTGCGAATTCGGTTTAAAGCGACCTCTCTTGGAATGTATCTTGTGTTGTATCGACGTTCTACTGTAGTATTGTATTTTTGGTGTTTTTTTTTTTATATAATTATTTATCTCTATTCATACATTTAGTACATTCTCGGAAGATACGGACAATCAATTTTTAGTCTGGAACTTCGAGGGTTCACTGTATCTACCCGAAAAAACGAGTTGAAAAATAACATTAGCATAACACAGCTCTCAGATTGGGAATTTATGGAAATATCCCCACTGAGCCCGGGAATTCCTTATGGCACTCATTTTAATTAATTTCTTAAACATATCAGGTTTTTGGAGCATTCCAGAAACTGGGATGCCAGATAAGCAGTCCCATACCTCTATTAAATTGAAATTAGTATTTTGTGTGTGTGTACCAAAACCTTAGAGGTATTACAACAACAACAACAACAACAACTTGATTTTATTGATTAAAATTTTTAGCTGCCAAAAAATCCTAAAAGGAAAGTATGATATTTTTGTGTTACAAATACCAGATTGATTACCAAATTTCAGCTCCCTCCCTCTTTTTAATAGTATACTGTACTGTACAATGACCCCATAGAGTGCTGTTTCAGATGGAGCTCAATGTTCCAGGAACATATCCTGAGTGCTAATCAGGATTACTGTAATGGATACAGTATGTAAATGGTGGCTTCAAATTATGGTTGCTGCTCTACTGTATGTTTTAAAATCACTTTTATTGAATAGTTCACATACTGTAAAGTAGTTGGTGTTTCAGGCATTGTGACTTCCAACACGCAAGATGAATTACAGGGCAAACGAGGAATTGCTCTCGTGTCCCTATGAGCCATCCCACCAGATTCTTCCACATCGCATGGCACAACATCTTGTTAAATGTAAAAAGGTGAGTAAGTTCTTCAGTTCAGTAAAAAAGGCAATAGACTTGTAACAGTTTGTGCATGTATAGTCTCTTGACCAGTGTTGCAGTGCCAA